AGTTAGCTGGTAAATTTCGTACTTTAGCAGCAGGGGATGGGTACAGAATGAGCGGCGGGACTGCTAGGCTAAGCTCTCTTAGAGACCTGCTGTCGTTGCCGTTCGGCTCTCTTCTCAGGTCTTCTTTAATTGCTGATAATCGTGGGCACAGACGCTGATGAAAATCACCCAAATGATGAATAGTGACTGTCTTCTGAATGTTAGGCTACTTGTGCTAGTATGTCACTGAACTGTACTTCACCTGTTTTGTTTTCTTGGTGACGTAGACTCATCTGTTCCCCAACATCTTGGCCAGAGATTTTAACCACCTCTCTCCCAGCAATGCATAATCTCTTTATTTTAATACTTCAGAATGAATGTGTTTGCTGGATCCTGGTGTGGTCTCGTAAATCATGGGACTTTGCATGTTAGTATGTGTGCGCTCCTAGAAAAGTGTGCTTGTGTTGCTGCTCCATGTCAGATCTGTGTATGTCACCAAAATGGGGGAGAGGGTGAGTATACCAGCTGGTAAGTACACTTCAGTGCGGGAAACTTCAAAAGAGCACAGCAAAAAATATGAGAAGGACGAAAACGCTAAGTTGATTTGTGGATTTCCTTGTACACACAGAAGATTAAATCCTTTGTGACACTGGTTGTAATGAAACATTTTAATTTCATCCTCAAAGTGTAGTGTCCTAAAAATTCAACTGAAAGGCACAAAATGACATTAAGTGGATCAGCAGGTGTGACTGTCAGTTATACCCACAGTAATGAACATTATTTGTGTGTGTATGGGTATGGATTGTGACGATAACATTCCTGCTCTTGGTTTATGTTCCCATACCAGTGCTGTGCGCCAGAGGTTTCCCCGGCTTCTCAGACTGGTAGGTTCCCACATTTATATCTCAAAAATTCACTATCTTTGAAGTCATTCTCCTTTATTTAGTTGTTCTTTTAACTAAAGATGCTATAAAATCCTTTTGAATATTCCAATAAATGTCATGTTCTGAAGAATCTGTTGGTGTTCTTCATTTCTAATGTTTTCGGCCAAAATGGGAAAAATGATCAGAGTAGTTTTGTTTCATGTGTTCCCTGGGAAACCCTAAAATGGTCATTATCTTTCATATGATACGCACATCTCCATATTTTAGTTTTTGTATTGCTTTATTGATGTTAAACCAAACTTTTACGATAATTTTGTGTGTTTCACTTCAGGATGGTCATGACCTCCCTCCACCGATTGGATTTGATGTGGAAACGCCCACCACTATTCCCCCCTGCAAGGTTAGCTGAATGTATAGTTTTACTCACTGATATTCAGCATTGTGTCTATATTACTGTTAACTGAATTAGTTTAATCTGCGTTGTACAAATGTTTTCCTGTGTGACTTTCCAGGGCAGCTGTTTTGGCTCCGATGAGATCAAGGCGCACATCCTTCGGTTCTTGCAACAGTAAGTTTCTCCTTTTCCTTTTTTAGTAATGAGGAAAACCCTGAAATTTTTTTAGAGTTGGTGCACTGATAATGTGCCCACTGAACAATTAGTGTTTTTATTTGTTAATTTTAATTAGCTTTTAAGGAAATAATTTTTTGGGGAAAAGGACAAACACAGAAACTAACTTCATGGCTTGTGACTGTGTTGCAGGTACTACAGTATCTATGATTCGGGGGATAGACAGCCGCTCCTGGATGCCTATCATGATGGAGCATCATTATCAATCACAACACCTTACTCCACCCAGAACCCCTCCAGGTGAGGACACAAGCACATTTGTAGATAACTTACTACTCTGATTAATATATTTTGGGTGTTTTCATCAACAAAGCAGAATTAAGCTTTTCATTGACAAGATGTTTGCATGGGTTGCTCTTTCCGTGTCTTCCCCTAACATTGAGTCTGTTTGTCCCTCTGCTGTTTAGGAGCAGTCTGGGAGAGTATTACAAAGACAGTCGAAACCTGAAGAGAGTCAAAGACTCCAGTGAGTATCTTTCACTGTCTAAATTGAGGTTGTCGGGATTTGAGACGTCTCCTCATGTTTTCCCTCTCGAAATTTTGACTTCTTTAGCGATACGCTTTCGACTGCTGAAGCATACACGACTGAACGTGGTGGCTTTCCTCAACGAGCTACCAAAGACTCAGCACGACATCGCCTCCTTTACGATTGATGTGAACACCTACACGGTGGGTTTTCATTCTGTCATCCACCTTGACGTTTTCCTCTGAAGCAATTTATTGTTCTAATTCTCTCAAAACATGTTTTCTGTTTACAGAATACACTACTGTCATTCACAGTAAGTGGAGTCTTTAAAGAAGGTGAGCTGTTTTAGTCAGAGTTTTAGAATTGGTCCTGAACAAAGGGGCATACCTGTTGATTTCTTTACTAATTTGTCTGTCTGTTGTCTGTTTCAGTTGTTGTTGATGGGAAATCGCGAGAATCCACAATGGCCTTCTCTCGAGTTTTCATCACAGTCCCAGCAGGAAATTCTGGGTGAGTTTTACTGAGCTCCCGGTGGTTTATATGATCTTCCCGTGGTGCATAACGAAGTGTTTGTTTATTGTTATGCTTCAGTCTGCGTCTTGAGACCAGTCTGCAACAACTTGGCACCCACCAATCACTAGAGAAAAATGTGTATTTCATGAAATTGGTAACACGCTGTGTTAGAGTCAGAGAGTCATAACGGTCAAGTTAAATATATCAAACATATTACATGCGTGCGTCTCCTGCTAGAGTCTGACAGCAGACTGTATTGCAGATGAACCTAATCAGAAATTGTACCAACAAACAAAAAGGACGTTTAGCTTCTCCTGTGTATAACAGAAACATCCAGATATCCTTATGTTTTCTGTGTGTGGTTCTTTTGTGACAGGTTGTGCATTGTCAACGACCAGCTTTTCATTCGAATGGCCACAACAGAGGAGATCCGCCGAGCCTTCGTGGCTCCTGCCCCGACTCCATCTTCTAGCCCTGTCCCCACCCTCACTGCACAGCAGCAAGAGATGCTCACAGCTTTCTCACAGAAGTCTGGCATGAACCTGGAGTGGTCACAGAAGTGCGTTTTGTTTCCTGCACATATCTTTTTGTGGTCTTGTGTATGATTGTGTATTTAAACATCTAAACATACATCTTTAACAGGTGTCTACAAGACAATGAATGGGACTTCAGCAGAGCAGCGCAGATCTTTACTCAGTTGAAGGTAACTTAAATTGTATAATAATAATGATAATTGTTCTGTCTATAAATCAACATAGAAACACTATTGTGAGGCCATGGCTTTGAAATATCTCCTTTTGTTTTCTCTTTCCAGGCTGAAGGAAAGATTCCTGATGTAGCTTTCATAAAATAAAGAGTGGAATCAAATATCTGTGAAATAAACTAAAGCGCAGTTACTTTTATTTATGGCTTTTGTTCTTTTATTCGCTCACTTTTGTTTGATTATGAATGAAGTAGATCAAGTCTACTTGTGTTAACTGTTTTAACAGCCAAATGTCATTCTGCTACTGTTTTTGGTTATTGTAACCTTAGTTTTTGGTCATTTGTATAGATATCACTACACAGTTTTTATAGGAATAAAGACATATGACCAATGGTCCATTGTATTCATGTGCTCATCTTGATTTTGTTTGTTTATGTTTAACAATAAAATATATTTTGTCACAACTGATAAATTTTCTTCAAGGTTACATTAGAAAAGAGTGGGAAAAGTGAGGGGGAAATGCCCAATAATTTGACTACATTTCAGTTTACAGCAAAAATGTCAAAATATTTTAAATAACTGAGAAACGGTGACTTATTGAAAGATGTAAAATTGTTAAGTTTCATTGGGGGGAAAAAATAGATCAATGATGCTGCTCATGGATGACTAAGTTTTATCCACGCAAATATGTGTGGGAAAAGTTGACATAAAAAATATAGTATGGAACTTTTTACAGTGCTGCTTTAGTTCCTACATCTTTATGGCTGTCCAGATTGAAGTTTGGGCTAATTTAAATTAATTATTTTTCTTGTATATCAGAGACAGCTCGGGTTGAGCAGTTTGGAGACAGAGTAGTCTGATGTGGGAGCATGTGAAATGGAGGGAGAGCAGATGGTTTAGACAAAGTGTTATTGAAGGGAGCAGCTGAGGGAAGCTGGCCTTAAGTTTGTATTTGCTTTAGGGTGGTAGATTTAATATATGCTGTACATTTGCCTTACCTATGATACTAAGACTTATGTTTATAATATTAAATATAGTTAAGATAAAACCACAAAGTTGAATAAAAAAATAAGTTTGGAGTTACAGAACTCTTGTTAGATACAACCAGTTTAATTGACCAAAACAAATTTTAAGGTTAAAGAACAAGTGAAAACGATCTGCAAGAAAAATAAAAGGAGACAATCGGGGAGAACGCACACATTATCTTTTTTTTCAATTTTATTATTATTTTTTACATACAAAGGTACACACTGAAGCGGAATTAAAAAAATATCACATTTTATAAAAGGATAAGATTTGTGATTTCTGATCCTCCATATCGCCTTGCCTTCCATACAGTTATATGTAAATGTTCAAAACTCTGGAAGAAAAATATAAAATCAGTGTGTTACAATTAAAGCGCTGACCTTCTAAAAATGGCGCCTGGATAGATACGTTCCTTTTCCGGTTTTTGTCTACGTCAGTGTGACGAGTTACGCACGGACGTTCCATCAGTTGGCGAATGATAACAATAAACAACCCCGAAACAAGGGATACGCGAAGAGGAGTTATCGCTGCGATTCGACACAAAGCTGGCGAAAATATGAGTTGAGACGGATACCGTCAGCTGGAGTAAAGTCTCGAAAAGTATCGTGGGAGCTTCTTGGGTCCTGACACAAAGGATTTTGTAGTTTTTGTGTAGGGAGAACTAGAGTTACGGTATACCCCTTCCTTAGCCCCTTGTAGCTAGCTGTGGCTCATTCCTTGTTTTTGCACACTTTGTTTTAGTCTGTTATGCAGTTTCCAGAGGACTGTACTCGCACTCGTTCTCCTCCACCACCTCTTCGCTCCCTCTCCCCGCTCTCTCTGGCCCTATGTCTCGCTGGTTTTTCCCCTGGTCGGGCTCAATCAAGAAGCGGGCCTGTCGGTACCTTTTACAGCACTACCTCGGTCACTTTTTGCAGGAGCGATTGAGCCTCGATCAGCTGGGCTTGGACTTGTACAACGGCAGCGGTGTCATCAAGGATATCAACCTCGATGTTTGGGTGAGTTTTTAACCGTGAGGAGAAGGTGATCTTGGCACGCGAGCAGCAGCCATCAAGTGTTTTTGTCGGACTCGTGCTCCCTCGACTATTTCGCAACTGCGCTTGAATTCAACAACAATCTCCAGCGTCGGGCTCCCAGCCTAGGTCACATTTCTTCGAGGAAATCCACTCTCAGGAAACGCACCACTAGCTCACGAGTTTAGGTTTACCTCTGTCTGCATTCAGCATAAATATATATGCCCATGGCACACTAACTATGCACTTCCTCAGCTTTATATGAGACCCAGAGTGATGAGGCAAATGTGAAACCGCATATTTCAATTTTTTCTTTTACTTTTACTTCTTAGCAGCTGCTTACTAACTGCCTCCTCTTTACAACAGGCGGTCAATGAGCTTTTGGAGTCCCTGGGGGCCCCTCTGGAGATAGTAGATGGCTTTGTGAGCAGCATAACGGTGACCATCCCTTGGCAGGCTCTCTTGACTGATCACTGCACCTTAGAGGTTTCTGGTCTTCAGATAACATGCCGACCCAAGTACCGGACCAGTAAGTTCGCTTAAAGTATATGTTCTTTTCATTGAGACACCGAACACGCCTCAGCCAGCAACTCATGTTCTTATCATTTCTTAACGTGCAAACCCAGTTTGACAAAATCAGTATAATTATTAAGATTGCATCATTTATCTTCAAGGACACTGCAGAAGATGTAAACAGGATAAGAAAACATTCATTTGGTACTATTTATGTGAACAAGGACTGCAATAATTCTGCCATATACTTTCATATTTTCATATGTATGAGTCTGACAGATATTAAACTAATGATGCTAATTTGTGAATCCTTTCAGATCCACATCTAGCTCAGGCTAAATCTTGTCTCATATGTGTAACTTAGACATCATCTCACTAAAAAAAAAAGAAATTAAAAGAATGGTAAATAGCCAATACTGAAATAGCTAAAGTACAGAAATCACTCAGTGCTTCCTGTTTGTTTGTCTTTTGCCATCAGGTGGGGGCTGGGACTCGCAAGGTTGGTCGTCCAGCATGACCTCCAGCATGCAGCTGGCTCAGGAGTGCCTAAAGGACCCCCCTGAGGCTTCAGAGGAGCCCCCTGCCCCACTGGAGGGGCTTGAGATGTTTGCACAGACTATTGAGACGGGTGAGTGAAAGCAGTTTGTCTGCATGCAGATTGTCACTTGTCTAAATGTGGTAGTTGGCGTACAGACAAAAGAACTTCCTCAGCAGCGGGGGAAAAGTCAAGCGTTCTCAAGAACTCCCACAAACCATCACAGTTATGATCACTTTGGAGTAAAGTACTTTCCATCCATTCCCCAGGAAACCTCTTCCCCCAAGAAACCAAAGTGATAAAAATGTACAAATAAAAATATAAAGTCATAAAATTATATTTACTTTATTGACCTAATTTATCTGCTCTTTTTTGCTTTGAGTGTTTCATGTGTTAAATGTATTTAAAGTCACACTCGCTTCTCTCATCACCCTTATCTCCCCTGTTGTCACTGTGTGTGTGAGAGGGGCATCAAACAAAACAGAGTGCAGTAAGGTGGGGATTAGTCTTTGTTGCAGACACAGACAGGTGCAGACACCACTGACCAGTGCTTATTCCTGTAATAGTCCTCTGAAGGGCGCATGCGTAGTTGGGTCGAGTCCATAAAAAAGGCAGGCATGCAGATTTTTTGCATGAAGCGTCTCGCTCATTGTCTGTTGATACACTTAACGCAACCCAGACACAAGTTGACCCTAGCACACTTGCAGATGAAGAAACTGTGACACGTATCACCCGAGGCCAGACGGGGAGAAATTAAGGTAGGTTGACTGCAACTTACAATAAGCTGTACTTCATGTGTACCAGATACTGTGTGTATCAGATGGTTCAGTGACCAACATAAACACACAGAGGGATGAACTTTAACGCTCACTTTGTTTCAAAACACATAACACTTATTGATACTCTCATATTTTATTTTGCATGGAAAAGAACCATAAAACTAGCCAAAGTTCTTGTTGTTGTTGTGTATTGTTTTCTGTAAGAAAGAGGGAAATCATCATTGCTGGCCTCATGGTGGTGTTGACATGTCTCAGCTTTGACATTTCAACGAATTATAGTTTAAACTATGTATTTTTAACTATTTATGATCTATCGCCCCGATTATCCCTCCACCTCATTCCAAATAGAAAGCCATCTCTGTGACAGCCTTCTTCTGTATATTATCATTGCTCATTTACTCCACGGTTCATTTCCTACTTTGGGGGTTGAAAGGGGCTTTTATTCATCTTTACCAAACCTCCTGATGTTACCTAAATCAGAGGCTCCTCAGCGATGTAGATGTTTCTTTGGAAAAAGAAAAGAAAAAGAAAACAGGATTCTGGAGGTTTACATAAATAGGGCATGCTACAGGTCAACAGTTTCACTGCACACTTGTTCTATCTATTCTGGGCGGCCCATCCCTGCTGAGTGACGTCCTCTGGCTTCCTGCAGACTGGATTTACTCAGGAGATTATATTATTGTGAGAGATGGGGAATCTGTTAATTTGCATCCAGCATGCTTATAGGTTTGTGTAACTAATGAGAAAAAAATAAAATATTGGGTAAATTTGAAATGGAACCGATTTAAAAACCTGTGATCTGCTCACAGTTGGCCACCTTAATTTACAATTTCTCCACATTGGTGCGGTTCTTTTTTTATGTTTATTTAGTTGCTTGTTTATGTAGTTACTTTATTCCATTACTGATAAGTATTCTTTTGGCCTATAGTACTGTCCAAAAGGCCAGTGAGCCACCCCTCATTTTCTATTTTGTGAGGAAAGTGAGATGCTAGTTGCTACTATTTATTGAGACACGTCCAAACATATGTGAAAATAAAGTATATAAGAAAAATACATTAATAATTAGTTTGAAAGTTAATATTGGGTTTGAACACCTTCTTCATCACACCCTGAACTCTCTCAGGCAAGCTTTCTGATAATTTCTTTAAGTAATCTTCAGGAATAGTTGTCTAGGGTTCTTAAAGGACATTCAAAGTGATTCTTTGGCTGGCTTTTTGCTCTGTTCTCTCTTAAGATGACCCCACACTGCTTCAATAATGTTGAGGTTGATGCTCTAGGGCAGGGGTCTTGAACTCCAGGCCTCAAGGATACCGTCAGCTATCTAAAACCTGTCCTGCAGGTTTTAGATAGCACCCTGGGTCAACACACCTGAATCAAATTATTAGTTCATTTCCAGGCCTCTGGAGAACTTCAAGACATGTTGAGGAAGTCATTTAGCCATTTAAATCAGTCGTGTTGGATCAAGGACATATCTAAAACCTGCAGGATACCGGCCCTCGAGGCCTGGAGTTAAAGACCCTTGCTTATAATTGATTATATTTGATGGGGGGGTTCTATCCAGGTATGCCGTTACTACATGGTCAGTATGTTTGGCATCACTGGCATGATGAAAAATCAAGCTATTGCCAATCAGATGCGTTCCAGATAGTATTGCATGGTGAATGAAAATCTCACAGTACTTTTCTGAATTCAAAATTTCATCAATTCTGAAAAGATCTCCAACACCACCAGCTCAAATGCACCCCAAACCATGACTCTCAACTGTGATGGCTATAAATTACGGGTGGGGAACTCCAGGCCTCAAGGGCTGGTGTCCTACAGGTTTTAGATGTGTCCTTGATCCAACACAGCTGATTTAAATGGCTAAATTACCTCTTCAACATGTCTTGAAGTTCTCCAGAGGCCTGGTAATGAACTAATCATTTGATTCAGGGGTGTTGACCTAGGCCCTTGAGGCATGGAGTTCCCCACCCCTGCTGTAAACATTTACATTAGTACCTCTCTCCTGATCTCTTCCGGATATACTGACAGTGAATTGAAAATTACTCTGTAAGACTCGTTACTGATTCTAGTGACAGTCAAGTTCTTGTGTTTTCCTTCTATAACAATGGCTTTTTAACAACCATCCTTCCACTGAGACCATTTCTGATGAGGCTTTGTTAAACAATAGATGGATCAACTGAAGGTCCAGATGTATCTCTCCGCTCCTCTGTCAGCACTTTGCTAGATTTTTGCCTAATTTCTTAAAGACACAACTTTGAACTTTGAGATACTGTTCATCTGCTGTAGATTATTTTTAGGCCTGTTACTTCTTTTATCCACTACTTATCGTTTCCGTATTTGTTTTTGTTTTTTTGTTTTTTTAAGACACACTGCACAACATGGTGTGATATGCCAACTTTTCAGAGGATTTGGAAATCACCTTGGTGCAAAAGTATCATTTTATGTGAGTCAAACTGTGTTGTCTGGCATTCATAGAGTCAACTAAAGACTATGAAGGGGAAGAAAATTATGTGCTTTTGAAACAGGCTGCTAGTAACAAGCGTTTAGAAGGCCTGGAGAACTATTGCTCAAGACCACTTTAATAATTAGAGGAAATTCTGGCTCCTTGGAAGCATAGAGACATTAAAGGTGGCTCAAGACCATTACTCTGTGTTTTTTAATTTATTTTTTAACTGAACAACACTTCATACATATATATATATATACATATAGTGTTACACAGTACAAGTGAGTTGTTCGACATTTATAATGTGCTATCAAACGGCATTAATGTTTGGTCATGGATATATATTTTTTTTTTTTATTTCCCAGTAACTTTACAGTGCCCCCATTATACTTCTACTTCTTTTCCATAATGTACTTTACTGTTACTGCTCATATTAAATATGATTGATGTTTCAGATAAGGAGGCTGTTGTTTGCACAGGTAATTCTTTCTCTGTTTGATCAGTTTCAGGCAGTACTTTCTGTTCCTTACTTGGCTCTTGGCTTTGATGCCAATGAGAGGTCATATCCTTAATATTGTCATCTTGGGTACACAGCTCTGTAATTCCACCAAGCTGCCCTTCAAATCTTTTGCTTCCAAAACTTTTAATTTCCTTACAGGAAAACATGTCAGTTCAACTTTGTTTCCCTTCACATTTTTCCATGGTTGTTCATGCCCCATCTGAATTGGCTTTATTCCCCAACCACTGGGGCCTCCACCATAGTTTGATATCCACTGTTTTAAAGGGAGGTGAATTAGAGCCTCTTGTTTACAACGGTTAGCTCTGACTTTGACAAATCAGAATTTACCTTCATTCAGCTTTGACTAAGCAGATGTGCTTCAGGGAGACAGTAGAGACACTGTTAATGTACATATTAGATCCCACCACTCCGAGCAAAGCAGAACTCATGTAAGAGATCGGTGCTAATGAATCTTTGCATATCTGTTTTGTCGTCTGTTTTTCAGTCCTTCGTCGCATTAAAGTCACCTTTCTAGACACTATCGTCCGCATCGAGCACCAGCCCTTGGACCTGGAAACAGGCGTCGCCTTAGAAGTGCACATTAAAAGGTGAGTTCCTGCTTCCTTTTTCCTAACGGAATATGAGCTGCAAACAGGAAAAACTAGACCTGGTTTTCACTGAAGGTTATTTTACATACTTACAGTTACAGCCTCATTGATACTACAGTTAGAGTAGTAACAACATTTCCAGTAGTAATTGAAACACTTTCAAACACATAAATGTATAACTTGTGCTTCAGTAGTTCATCTGACAGTAACTTTACTTGCCTTTTAGAGTCATTCATTCAGTGTATTAAAGGGAGCAATATGTGTTTGTGTGTTTATTTTTCTACATTTACGTTCACTAGAAATTCCTGAAATTTGCAAATGAAATAATAGTAGGCTTACTTGGAATTGATGCTTAAGTGGAAAATTAAGCCGTAGCTATGCTGTAGCTGCAAACCCCTCTGAAACCCTACGTTGTAACCTGGCGTGCACTTTGATGTGTGTCGGTACAACACAGCCGGTGTGATTGGTCTGTTCAGTACTGTTGATACCTCCTGTGCACTTCTGGCGACTTTTTCCCTAGATTTGCATTTATCAGTGACAGAATAATAATCATAGCACCAGTTTAAGGACTCACAAATGTCAGCAATTTCACAGAAGGTGATAGCTGAAACGGTCAGAATGGATGTGGAGGAATGAACAAGCAAAACTTGACGGACAAAACTGACCACAACAAAGAGCGTATGCCCAGGCACATGAAAGACTGGGACACAACCATAAGGTTATTAACACATAGTGCACCAGCACAAGGATAAGTGGTGGCAACAGCGTCGGCCGCTTCCAGAGTTACGTCGTAGGTTCTACAAAGATTCCCCACAGAAGTCAGAAATCAGGCCCTATGATCGTAATCCGCAGCTTCAAGAAAGCTCCAAATGTCTTCACCAATATTGTCATATTTTAACCTTCTATCTAACTGTAACATTACCAGTATTCGGCTGAACAGTGGCTACAGATAACTGCAGCCTGTGCTTGAGGTGTTGTCAATGATAGAGTGTCTGTGACCGTGACATTCATTGATGACTATGGACACTGATGAGTCACTGATGCTGCGTATGAAACACCAGAATTATATAGAGAGAGCTGTTCCTAATAGTTTGATGTATTCGTGCTACATTGTTGACATAACATTGGAACCATTTCCAACTGCAGTAGTCAAGCATGGTTAAATAAAATGCACTAAACCTAGTTTAAAGCATAAAATACTCTTTCTGTTTTATTATTACAAATGACCCCCAATTTTATATTTTCAGATAGATCTTATAACTTTAAAAAAATCCTTAATCCAAGCCCAAGAAGACAGGAGAAAATTGTCATAATGAAGTAAGTGTTTTTAGCTCTCAGGCTACTTTTAGGCTGGCTGGACTTTAAATGGGATAAATCACAGTACTTTTTAAATTTCCAAAAGTTGAATCTGTTCATCTGGACGTAGCGTTTTTGTGGGAGAAACGTTTCGTCACTCATCCAAGTGACTTCTTCAGTCTTGACGACGCTACGTCCAGATGAACAGATTCAACTTTTGGAGATTTACTTTCCTGGATGATTGAGAATGCATCAGGATACGTTTTAAATTATTTAAACTATAGTTGCTAATATTTTTTTTGACAATCGCAAGTTATTATCTGAAAAGGAAGGTAAAGATTATTTTAAATAGACTTGCATTACAGTATGCTCTTTTTTTTTTAAACCTCAATGCCCTGCACACGTCTTTCTGTGTCCCTCATATGTCATGACGTTATTGGCATTTTGCTGTGAGACTGATGACTCTCTGTTTTCCTGGCATATTGACAAAGCTGCACAGGTTGAGCTTTGCTGATCTGTGATCAGAGACCACAAGGGCAGAACTGATTCAGGTCAAGTGAGGCATGTTACACATGCAGTGTTTGTTAAACAGGAGCTTCTGCTTCAGCTGTCCTGGTGCTGAAGGCACTGATTGTGTAAGTGTGTATTTCTGGTCAGAATATTACGTTGGTTATCAGCATACCATTAATTACACGACTGATGTTTTGTCACATTGAAACCAATTTGCAGGTGTAATGTCTTCCTCTGTGTCCACCGTTATTTTCTTCTCACTTAAATTTGCTGTTAGCAATAAATGGTGTACATTTCTGATTCTGCCATGTTGTTCCAGGCTGGAGTATTTCGACGAGGCAGTGCGCGATCCAGCCAGCCAGACTGCCGTGCCTGTCGACATCCACCAGCCACCCGCCTTCCTGCACAAGATCCTCCAGCTGAGCGCTGTTCAGCTGTTCTATGATAGCAATGGCATAGTACAGGTGATGGAGACCACGCTGCCTCAGATTTCTGTATCTTTTCTATTTTATTTTCTTTATTTCTTTTACCTTTAGATTATTTTTTTTGCAACATTTTTAGTTTTCATTTGGAATACAAGTAATCAGACTAACAAATGTGGACAGCTTTGGGGACACGTTGCAGATATGACACAGACATGATCTGCTGATGTTTAAACTGAGACTGTAAGATCAGTTCAGACAATCTGACTGGAGAAAGTCTGCAGCTTTTTAAAAATGTCTGACTTAAGAAGGATACTTTTTAGGTTACAGCTTTACAAACAGGATGATTTGTCTTTTCTTATGTGAAGTGTTGTCAGAAAATAATGTATTAAAGTACAACTTCCATAATAATGGTATGTGATACCTAGGGAGGACAAAGTGGTGTGGATCTGCTTTTTCTTTAGAACTGAATTATAATTTACAAGTGGCATTGTGTGAAGAAGAAAATGTTCCTGACTTTCATCTCTGTCTTCATTTGTCTTCATTTGACAGGGTACTCCTGAGGAGGAACACACAGATTCAGCCATGGCTAGTGAGGGAGAGGAAGGTGAAGGCGACGATGATAAGAAGGAGGAGGAAGGGGAGAAGGCCAAGCCACAAGTTGCCCCTCTATCTCAGCCGCTCCTTATAGGAAGCTCCTCCGGTTTCATTGAGACCACCGTCAAGATCAAACAAAACGACATGCTGCCCGGACCAAAGGTGCACGAAGCTCTCTCATGCACACCAAGAAATGCAAAAACACAACTACTGTCTCAGGCTGACTTCTCTCTCTTTTCTTTCTCTCCGATTCTTAGCTGGAGTTGGATGGGAAAGTGGGCTGTGTCCACATGCTGCTGTCTCCTGATCAAATAACCCATCTGACAGACCTGCTGGCAGCCCTCTGTATAGACACTGGTACAGAAAAACGGGCAGTGTGATATAAACTAATTCATGGCCAGTTTTATGATTATGATTATGCCATGACCTAAAATAGTCTGTACCTTTTATAAGTTAAAGAATGGCATTTTTGTCAGCTGACTCTAGGTGAAAGCAGGAGACTGGTTGAAGCATAGTTAGGTAATTGGGGGTATAGTAACATAAATAAATGATTTTAAAATTAAAGTTTTCTCTGTTTCCCCTTTATGGTCATGTAGGTTAAAAAGTATTGCCCTCGCTCATAATATTGCACCTGAAATGTATGCTCCTCTGAACCATAAAGTAGTACGGGCTCACAAATTCAAGCAGTACATTGTACAGCCCCATAATGTGATAACGTCTCTGTCCTTAAACACCTACACTAGTCTGGCTTCTCCTGCTGCAGCCTGGAGCTAAACAATAATGTCACAGATATTTTTAAACGCCTCCTAAATGTGAGGTTATACACACGGTCTGTTTCCTTTTGAACCATTTTAATCAGATATTCGCTCCTCTATTACTCAGAGCCAGAGACCAAGTGCGGCAGAGTGCACAGTCGTCCGTTAGACTCGGATGACATGCGAATGATTGAGGAAGACCTCGGTAAGCAGCTCGGCTCCAGTCCCAGAGACGATGAGTGGGAAACTGAGCCTGACCTCGAGTCGTTTGTCACCGGCATGGAGAATGGAGGTACACGGATCAGTACAAGACCTCTTATACTGTGTCTGCTTCAAATGCATCCTAACATCAGCAGGACTTTAAGAATCTGCATATTTAATTTAAAAAAAAATTTAATTTCTTTTTTCTTTGGGGGGGGTAGTAAATGGTGTTTGTTCCCAATATCTTAGCTCGCAATTAATACACAGTTTCCTTTGATAGTGTCATTTAAAAAAGATACAGGACACCAGTCTGGTGTTTGATTGTGTGAGCCACAGAGAGAGTAGTCTGGTATTTTAATTTTATGTCCTATTCCTGAAGGTGTGTAAAACTGCTGCTCCTTTTCTTACAGGAACATGACGTGAAGAAGTGTTTGTTTACATTTCAGTAATTAATCACTCGGTGTGTCTGTATGTGTCTTCCTGCAGAAATGTTTTACTCTATGGGTCCTGCTGGGATGACGAG